CAGCAGAAAAAATGGAAAAGGTTATTGATGTCCGTTATTTGAATTTAATTCCTTCCATTTCAAAAGTGCATCAGGATAATGCAGGGTTGTTGTCTTGCTCTAATTTCATGAACGCTTCTATTTTGCTTAAAAGTATTTTTTTTTTCTTTTAACGAAGGAGACGTGACTGATAACCTGGTTTCTACCAAACACGAGATTTTTTTTTAAAAAAAAGTAATCATTTTTATGCAGATGAACCAATAGACTTACTTTAACAGCCGAAGTGTAAAGCTGAGGCTTATGTAGGAAGTTTCAGAGGAGATAAAAAGAGTTAGTCGACTGTGCCGGTATTTTTTCTATGTAATACGTTACCATTGGAATACGATCATCTGGCCAGTTTTTGTTGTTCTCTGAGTATTTGCCAAGGTAATGAACAGTCTTCCAGTCAGTGGTTCGAATCCCGTACAGGCCTGATTTTTTTCAGGTCTGATTTTCGCTATTGCATAAATAGCGCTATCTACTGCGAGGATCGTGCATCATACGTATCTAATACCGCAGTTCAAAATATATGAACTTCATGTATTTATTGTAATTGAATTGATGTTATTTCTGGGTCTACTTCAGACAAGTGGAAGAGAAGTCAAACATCAGATGAAAGGAGTAGTCATGCTGCGTGTGAAGGACGAGGATAGCGAAGAATCTATTTATTCGATTTGAACGTACCTGAAATTTGATGTATAAAATGGAGGCAGTTATGTACGTAAACTATCTGTTTATATGTCATGAAAGTTTTAAGCGAGTATAAGTCGTGCAAATATGACGAAGATGATGGACATCTTCAAGTTTGCACTGCAGGAATAGTTAAGTTATGATTTAGGAAGGTTACTACTGATAGTGTTTCACTGAGCCTCGCGGATCTCGTTCTGAAGAGCGGAAGCATAGAGACAAAGGACGACTTTAAAGGCGTAGAAGTTATTTAAAGTTGCCATGTTCTATACCGTTTGAAGACAACACCAAACGCTCTGCTTCCGAGTGGGTGTTGTATGGCTACAAGTCTGTTCCCAACATGAAGGTGGCGAAAGGGGATGGGCTGCTCGCTGCATTATTGTGGCGATTCTTTCGAAACTGATATGTTGAAGCAGCCATCTGGTGTTGAAGTGAAAATCCAGTCGCTTGGAAAGTAGCTTATGAACATATTGTTTATAGCAAAGGTGATAGGGTGTTTCGTTCAGGTAATGCTCTGTCGATAGATACACCAATTGCACCAACAGAGTGTGTAGTTAGTTGCGTGATTGGGGAGTCGAACTATCCTTAAGTGACACAACTTTATCTTGGCGATAAAATAACGTCCGGTATTTATCAAAATCAAGTCTGTTGGGATGTTGGTAGATATATCTAAAGCCTTCGATACCCTTGATCATGACGTTCTATTCCATAAACTTGAGCACTGTGGTATAAGAGGCTTGGCCCTACAGTGAATTCGTACTTATTTCTCTTATCGCAAACAGTTTGGACAATACAGCAACACGCTATCCTCTAAGCAACAAATCACTTGTGGAGTTCCTTAGGGCTCCATTCTGGGACCGCTTCTATCTCTCTTTTATATGAATGATCTTCCAAATGCTACGGAACTCACTGAAACTTTCTTGTTTGTCAATGGCATTAGTGTATTTTATTCATATTGGGATGTCGGTCACTTAAATACTGTTCTAAACGAGAAAATTGGAGGTGTAAATACCTAAATGAAAGCCAATAAGCTATCTACATAGATCAAATAGACTAATTATGTAATTATGTAGTATTTAACTCACTAAACAAAAACGAATTAATAGATGGGTTCTTGCGTTATCGACCACGGTTAGTCAACTTTTTAGTAGTACTCATTGATGGAAATCTTTCCTGGAAATCCCATATAGATCAGTTGTTAATGAAAAAAATATCAACGACTCAAAGACCCTGGATATAATCTCCAGCCATTTTATTACTTATCTAAGGAAACTAAATTATCTTTATATTACACCTTAGTCTACCCTTACTTAACTTACTGCAATCTAACTTGGTCTTCTACTTGTGTAACAAATCTTCATCGAATATTCCTGCTCCTAAAACGTGCTGTGCGAACTATACCAAACGCTTACATTTACACTTATATTGCTGCATAACTCTTTAATTTAACATTCTGGATATTATTTTTAAATTATTTCTTTAAATTATTGTTTGGATATTATAATTTCATTTTCTTTTTTTTTCTTCTTTTTTTTAGTCTTTATTTCACTGATAAAATACATATCAAGTGTTACATATAAAGTGTAATGGGCTAAAATATGTATTAATTACTTACAGCTAAGTTATACTTAAAACTAAGTCTATTAATAAAAGTATTTTTAAAACGCTCAGTATTGCAAAATGGATATATTGGCTTTACTTGCCTAAGCCTACGGGTAGCAGAGTTAATCCTGGGAAGGGAGTGGTGCAATGGATGATGTTCCCACGCGCTTAATTTTTTGAAGATACCTATATCAGACTTATCTAAGCAATTGATAATAGAAACCGGAGAAGACGTGTGTATCTACGTTTGTAACAACGATCCAGGAAGCATTGTATGGTAGTAAGTTCTGGTGGAGATGAACGATTTACTGATATTCCGTACGTAAGTTTAGGCAGAACCGGAGCGCTGAATAATTTATCCAACTCTGCCTGACAATAACCCTCCCTCGTAAGAGTTCTAAGAATAGTGAGGCATTTATAAGCTGCGGCCAACTTATTCTTGGTGTGAATAGAGAACCTTCAATTTTCTTGAAATGTAACACCCAAAATACATAGATGTGAATGTTGGGGGATATTCTGTACTGTGTCTAATACATTCTTGTAGCCCTTCTTTCCGAAAACCAATTCTTTACATTTAGAGATATTACACTTCATGGAATTATCGATAGACCATTCTGTAAAGTTATTAACTACATGAGCAGCAGTATTACTATCACTATCACGCTTCCAAACCGGAATGATTAGAGTGGAGTCATCTGCATACTTAAACAACAAGAAGTCAGAGTCCGGATCTGTTTGCAGATCACTCATGAATATATTAAAAAATAGGGGCCACTGACGCTTCCTTGTGTAGTGCCTTTGTTCACGCAGATCAAATCACAATTAATTCCATTGCAGACAACCCGTTGTCTCCTATCAGTAAGAAAGCTTATATACCAATTCAAAATATACGGATTAAGTGGTAAGAGTTTCAGTTTACAAAATAAAAGATCATGTTTGACGATATCGAAGGCCTTACTAAAATCCATTTTCGTCACCTAGTTCGAGAGAGTGATGAAAAGGAAACAGCCAGCAAGGAATGTAGTGTAGCGATAGACACTTACATGTCCCTTAGATACTTAGAGCCAATACTTACTATGGAAATTCTCATTTACCTTAATTTCTGCAACTTGGTCTTGCCCCCCAACAACCAAGTGAGAACGCTTTCAAACGACTGTTCAAGTCTTATACTCTCTTGAATTACCCACGCAGGCGAATATTTTGACTATTTAGGTTATCACCAAAACGGAAGTCAAGTATGCACCCCTGGTTATATGTTCAGTGTTTATTCCGCGCCGCGAGTTTGTCACGAATTAAGGATTGTGTTTATGAGAATGAATCCCCAAAGAGTTCCAGAAAAAGACTAGGGAAATTATCACCCGAATACAGTTGTATCCAAAAGGTTAGTTTGGTCTAAAACGAATTGTGAGGACCAGGAGACCTTAGTCATTCACTATGTGATTGAATTCGAAGTCAATCATATCTAGTCAGCTGAATTACAGAATTACAGAACGTTTGATCCATTTTGTTCATTTCTAACTTAACGTTGTTTACTTGGAAGCTGCATAAAACTGAAAAGATATAATTTACCTTCTTAACCTTAACCTAATTCTCGCTGCCTAAGGATAGTGATGCTTCCTTACAATCTTAAATTTTGTGAATGTTTGAGAACGTTCTTCACCTCCCCTAAAATTTACCACTTACAAGTTAGGGTAAACCATACAAGAGGTCAGGAGTGGTTGGAAAAATTAAGAGATCTTGAAATCAAAGAATGGGAAATTGTTTTAAAAGAAGTTAATGCAAAGCTAGCAGGCGAGAAAGAAAAGCTAACCTAACTCGAGGGAAAATTTGTGCCAGAATTTCATCGAAAAGAATTCATGTTGCTTGAGCTATTTTGTCACACCCTATCGTTCAAAACGATCGTGGTTGCTCCCCTACTTGATTTCATCACTCACTCGTTATCTGTTGCTTATTCTACTCGAAAGCGATCATTGCATGAGCATTTACATCTTCCATTCTCTAACTCCTGATGAAAATCACTGTTTACACAATGAAGACAAGATATTTTTTTCATATTTTTTAAGCAAGTTTTCATCGACAAATTGTGAGATGTATGAGGATGAATTTCTTACAATCATATTATGGATTTGCTAACCACGGTGTGACCTTTTCGTAATACTAAGTGTATGACCCAAGCTCGAGGAGGATTAAGTAGTTATCACATGCAATCTCTTAGGCCTTGAAAGCGAAAACATGATTGGTTTGTTGACCACAAGGATCTGAACAGAAAGAAATTTTGGTTACGGTTTTAGGAGAGTAAACCTTTGTCTGCGGACAGTCTAACAATAACGTCATGGTGATTCTAGTGTCGTATCTTCACTGAGGATTAAATAGCAATTCCAGATCCTAGTCTTCATGTTCTTCAAACGAACTACATTGCTCGTCAGCGCTCGGTCGATCATCAGGATCGTACTGTAAAGCCTCAATGACTAACCTTTGAAGATCCCGGGAGCCCTCTACGCGTCTTGAAAAAGCTATGTCAGTTTCTGCATTGTACATTGCCATTGCTTCCCCAAGGCCAACTTTTCCAACACCACGAATACGTTTGAATGCACCGTAATACGCTTTTCCATTGCAGTCTTTGTAATCCCGTTCTAAGATGGCAAAAAACAGCACGCCGAGGGAAAAGACATCGGCTTTTTCTGTGTAGTGACCCGTGAAACATTCAGGAGCCAACCAGAACGGTGAGCCAACTGCGGAGTCCATGTAGTATTGTACGTACATTTGCATCCACGAGCCACCATTTCTTTGCGCGTCAACTTGTCTAAGTGCAATGTACTCACGAGCGAGGCCAAAGTCGGCTAGTTTAACATTTCCCCGTCTAGTCAAGAGTACGTTTTCCGTTTTTAGGTCTCGGTGAACCACGTCGTTTGAGTGAAGGTAGGCTACAGCATCGGCAGCTTGACTCATCCACTTCCAGTTGGTTTTTTCGGTGCTTGGTCGAGCGAGGCGTTCGTTTAAGTTTCCACCCCCGCAGTACTCAGTCAAAATCAACATGTGCAAGTTGTTCTGACTGTCAACGAACAGATCTGCTCCCTTCAGGGAGATGATATTGTTGTGAGAGATTTCGCACAGTGTATTTGCCTCATGGATCGCATCAAGACCTTGTGAAACGTTTAAGCAAAGAACGTCTTTTAAGGCATAGACTTTGCGCTTTTCGTCTGTTGCTTTGTAGACATCTCCAAATGCACCACTGCCAAGCTCCTGTTCGATTCTCACTGTTTTCTTACCCACAGAAAGTCTTGAGGGAAGATTAATCCTGGCCTGTTGCATTTCGGCTTTCTCAGGCCGCAACTGTTCTCTCCTTTTTTTTCTATCAGAATTGTGAACTTGATGAAAACGGCGCGCTCAACTGCTACGAACCCGCTGATTCTGATTTCTCGGAAAAACGAACTTGTCAGGTGATTGAACACGATGGGACCCACCGGGGTGGTGTTATTATGATGTTTCACTTTACAAAGGCGATGTTTCTATGGTGCATAAGTTAAACTGTTGTATATTTAGAAGAGCAGGTCCTACTGTATCTTTATCCGGAGCTTGGGAAAGTTTCAGTTGCTTTGGCAGGGATTAATTCGGGATTAGTCTTTGCAAACGGAAGACCCCCCCCTCCCCCCAGTCAAAAAATGTAATGTTTTTCTGAGAATTCCTATCCAAAGTAGTTTTCTGACGATTCAATTAATCTTTTGTTTGTTGAAACAAGTAAGTAGAAATTGCGCTTTTCCGTTTAGGAAGAAGGTTATACGATGCAGGGTTTACTTAGAAGTAGGAGTCAGTATCGATTATTGACTATTTTATTTTAAATAGCTGTAGCTAAGTATGATAAATCTTTGGAGTTTTGTGTCACTGTTGTCACTTTGGACATGATATTTTCGTTCTCGCAGCCTGATGTTATTTAGTTTGTGTTTAATTTTTTTTATCTATTTGATTAGTAATAGTACCCAGGTGAAACGGAGGAGGGATTAGTCGTCTCTAACAAAGTTTAAGGGGTATTATAGAAAATATACTACCAATGAGGGGAGATCACTTTATTTATTTATACACGGTAAATTCCACTCAGTCGTATACAAGGAATATACCTACAAATGTAAAACTTAAAACTACCGAAGACAGTTTCATCGGCCGTCGCGTCTTGATGAGAGTGCCCCAAGGATTGAAAAAGATCTTTAGAATATTCCGAAGCCCTTCGTGTAGATCAGGTAGATTTTGTTTTGACACAACTAAAATCTTCC